TCTCCCCCTTTTTTTTTTCCTCAACGGAATTTTTTTCCCGGTGGTTTTTTTTTGGGGGGGTGTCGGTATATTTGGTTAAATCATCTGGCAACACTAGATAAGGTTGGTGAGATACTTTGTACAGGATCAACTTTTGTTGCTAAAAGAGAAGCGTTCAGCCCATACAAATTTCTTCTTCAGATCTAGTAAGCTTCAGAAGTGGGTTATTGGCTCCCCACTGTATGCTTTTATGAAACTGTCACCAAGCCAAGGTTCTCTCCAGCTCCAAAATAAGAAGGCTTATTTTCTTAACGCAAGCAAGCAAACAGAAAAACCAATCTTTGAACTTAGTCCTTTCAGGTTTCAGTTCCTCCCCTCTTCCCTGGCAGCTTCCCAGTTCTGTTCCCTTTCTAGGGCAGTAGCCTTAAGAAACAACTAGGCCCCTTTATTCAGAGTGTCAGGTCAGCCTGTGAATCAAGCCCCATTTCTTCCTACCAACTAGAAGCTCTTTCTAGGCTCAGCCTCTTTGAATTAACTGGATTGGACTCACCTCAGTTCCAGAGTCGCTGAACATAGACTAGTCACAGGGACCAACTACCCTGTGACAGAGGCAGATAATTAGGCAGTATAAAAGGTCTCTAGTACATATTCTCGCTGATGAAAAATCAGCTTGTAATAGGACTGTTAAAATGTTATAGATTCAAGGATCTGTCAATGCAGGAGAATGTCCCAACTATCATGACTGAAACAGCATGTGCCCATTTACACAGGGAAGTTTGGAATGCTGGAATTACTGCTGTTCTGCAGAGGTTCTTATACTCCTCATCACTGCAAGATCTGAGCACCTTCCACGTGTGCATTATTCACATCTGTTGCACATGATCCTGCCTCCACTGAAGTCAATAGGATGTTTGTCCTTGACTTCAGAGGGTGCCAGAGGGATTGAGCCCTTTACTATAAATAGCATTTGTTCCTAGAACACTACCCAATCCCTGGGTTAGTTATTGCCATTTGGTGATCAGGAAAAATAGTGTGGTGATAAAACATTGCAGAAAGTTAAATGTGAATAGCTAACTCCACTTTGGATATGCATGGACATCTCAGTAAGTTAGGGGGAGTGGTGTTTATGAAGACATTTTGAGGCTATATGATTATTTTTCTGAAGGTTTAAAATGTGAAATGTCATATCAGGATTTCAGAGGCTGGACTACAGCAGGTTCAGATGGAATTTCAATGTGGTTCCTGGCAACATTACCGCCAAATTCTCCATGAGAGCATTATGAAAGCACTGTGTAACTGCTCAGGAAAAAAAAAAGATCAAAGTCCAGTCTGTAAAGGAAGGCTATTTACAGACACAACCACTGCTAGCTCTTTCAAGATCAAACACAAATCTTACCATTTAGGGCCATATTTTTGCAGCATGCACTCCCTATTATCTCCCACACTTATGGCTGCATCTAGACTGACATGATTTTGCAGAAATACTTTTAACGGAAAAGTTTTTCTGTTAAAAGTATTTCCGCAAAAGTGCGTCTAGATTGGCACAGATGCTTTTGCGCAAAAAGTGCAGTCTAGACGTGATTTTGCGCAAGAAAGCCCCAATCGCCATTTTAGCCATTGGGGCTTTTTTGCGCAAAACAGTTCTTCCCTGTCTACACTGGCCCTCTTGTGCAAGAGTGCTTTTTCCCGAGTGGGAGTATGAAAGTATTTGCGCAAAAAGCACTGATTTTGTACATTACAAAGTCAGTGCTCTTGCGCAAATTCAAGCGGCCACTGTAGACAGCTGGCAAGCTTTTGCGCAAAAGCAGCTGCTTTTGTGCAAAATCTTGCCAGTCTAGATGCACCCATACAGATTTGCCAAATAATGAATTCAGCAGGTAGCTTTCAGGGTTTAGTAAGTACTTTGGAGGCAGGCTGGATGGAGAGAAAAGCTTCAGGACATTTATGGCATGAGCAGTGTTCTCTGTAAACTGAGGACTTGTGGGGCTAGTCAGGAGAGATTCAGAATGTCCATGGATAGGTTTGTTTCTACTGGTGGTGCACATTCGCACATGCATTGGTGCACACAGAAAAAATGATTTGACACAGGGATGGAAAAGATCTGAGGGAACACTGGGCACAAGGCTGCTCAGATTTCTGGAAGACATCTAGGAAGATATCCTCATGCCTGCTCCAGCCACTTTATGCTGGGTAAAAGGGCATAAAGGGGACTTAATAGTCCCAGGTCTGGATGGGAATGGCAGCAAAGACAAATAAATGTAAGGTAGTCTTCCAAGAACCCCTTAGAAGCCTGATGTAGGGGGTGGCTCAGGGTCAGGATGGGCATAACAGACAGTGTACTGCTTCAGGGATTCCAGGCAGTGCTGAAGTCATAGAGCAGTCTATGGGCCTGCTTGACACTGTTTCAGAGCAGGCATGGATCAGAACATTGCAAAAGAGGACAAAGCCTAGGTTAGGAGTTTTGTGCCTTTGCTAGGTGCAGCACAAACCTGACCTGTGCTTTGCCTTGAGCCAGCACAGAGGATTAATACAGCATTATAGCCACACACCCATTAATCTCATAGAAAACAGCCATACTGGGTCAGACCAACGGTTAGTCTAGCCCAGTAGCCTGTCTGCTGACAGTAGCCAATGCCAGGTCCCCCAGAGAGAATGAACAGAACAGAGAATCATCAAGTGATCCATCCTCTGTCATCCATTCCCAGCCCTAACAACCAGAGGCTAGAGACATCATTACCTACCCATCCTCGCTCATAGCCATTGATGGACCTAACCTCCATGAATTTATCTTGTTCTTTTTTCAATCTGAATAAAACCTGGCCTTCACAACATTCTCTGCAGGGAGTTCCACATATTGATTGATTGGGTGAAGAAATACTTCCTTTTATTTGTTCTAAACCTGTTGGCTATTAATTTAATTTGGTGACCCCATGGTTCTTATATTATGGGAGGGAGGGGGAACTAAATAACTTTTCCTTTTTTACTTTCTCTGCACCAGTCATGATTTTATAGACCTCCATCATATGCCTCAAGCTGAAAAATCCCAGTCTTATTAATCTTTCCATGTATGGCAGTTGTTCCATACCCTAATAATTTTTGTTACCCCTTTTCTAAATCCTTTCCAATTCCACTATATCTTTTTTGAGAAGAGATGATCACATCTGTACACAGTATGCAAGATGCAGTCATACCATGGATTTATAGAGGCAATATGATATTTTCTGTCTTATGTATCCCTTTCTTAATGATTCCTTTCTTTGCTTTTTGACTGCTGCTGCACATTGAGTAGGTGTTTTGAGAGAACTATCTACAATGACTCCAAAAATCTCTCAAGAAGTAACAGCTAATTTAGACTCCATCATTTTATACACATAGTGGGAAAACATAATCCCAACTCACTCAGGTTATGTATCCTTACATTTAATGTACTGCCTCGTGAGTTATCATGTAACTACAAGTTGTTCTAATGAGAATTTGAATTTCATACATTGTAAGCCACATTGAATTCCATGTTTATATTAGTACATAGAAAGCCCTATTTTTATTTTAATTAAACAGATTTATATAAATCAGACAAAATATTGATCAGAGAAGGTATTGTGCTTGTTTCCCCTCTCTGTTTACAGGGATACTGTCAATTTAAAACAGGCATATTGCTGGAAAGAAGAGAGACAGCTGTGAAGTGAAATCACACATTTAAATTGTTTTAACTAAATGTATTTGTCACTATTTATATTGTTTACTTTTTCCTGCTACACTCACCTTGGACAATGTAATTAGACTGGTGGATTTCCCCTTCATTTTATAGCCCTTTGCTCATTAATGTTGTCATACCATAACAGGTTATTGATTAAATTCAAAGGTGCAATAGAGTTTTTAAATCCTCACACTATTCCTTTTATTTATAACTTTCTTAATACCAGTCTCAAATTCTGGGCACTTTACAAAGTATGAAACAAGTACAAAATGTATGAATAAATTAACTCTCTCATCAGATGCCATTGAAGTCAACAGAAAGACTCACTAACTCCAGCTTGCTTTAGTTCAGATGCTTAACCTTTAACATGAACAGCCTCTGGATGGCGCCATTACAAACCAGAATGAAATAACTTTTCAGGGAACAACAATGCAGTATCCCAGCCCAGATGCTCCGCAGATGGATGAGGGAAAAAAAAAAAGTAGTCTTTGCCATGGACCCAGAAAATGAAGCTCTTAATTACTGTTTACTGCCAAAACTCAGGAAGACAAATCATATTAGGCTGTACATTCATGAAGTTAGGACCTTACACTAGTACAAGCAAAAAGTAACATGTTGATATCTATGCTGTATTTAGCCTCATTCTGGTAAAAAATCTCTTTACTGATGTGCAGACAGCTGATCAAGGCTGCTGCATATACTGAAGGCTATAACAAAGAGCCAGGGGCACACTTTTCAGAGATGGAGGGGAAAGGGAGGGGATTATGGCATATAAATTGCCTGAGACTCTTGTTCAAGTTCAGAAAAATAAAACAATTCTGTAAACTTAAACAGTTTGCCAAAGAATAACTTAATGGGTTTCACCCAAAGCTAGGACATGTTAGAATAGAGAGCAGAAACATTTTATAATTATAAAAAGGCAGCAGAACAAGCAGCCAAGAGAAATGGTGTCAGCAGCACCACCAGGAGTATGCAAAGCTTACAAAAATTTGCGATTTCAAAGCCTAGGATGGGCTGACAAAATAACTCACTGCAGCCTAATATATTTATGCTTGGAGTTACCTGAACTTCTCTATAAAAACCTCTTTAAGGTGAGGAAAGGGACCAGCCACTAGACTAGAAGTCAGATATTCTGATATATACGCTACTCAGATGCAGTAGTAATGTGGCCCGAGTGTGCATATTAGTAAGATTATGCAAGTCACTACATCTCTATGCTTCAGTTTCCCCACCAGTAAAGGAAGTGTAAAGCTTGCTCACTTTTGTGAAATGAGTGCTTTGAGATCTATGGCTACAAATGCTATACACAGTGCAGAGCATTATTTCTATTGTCGGTGTTCAGCTATGCCACAAGAGGCAAGTTAGCAGACAATTTCTGTTAGTAACTATGCTACACAAGTGCCTGATCTTCTGTGGTTATAAGCTCCCTCCTCTCCAGCTGAAGCCAAGGTACTGAGGATGCTTCCCACTGTACAGAATTGGGCCCTAGACACCATATGATTGGGAAGAACTTGGGAATTAACCAAGTTCTAGAGTGCAGTGAAAATGTGTATTGTTGGAAAGAAAAAAAGCCCCAAAACAAACTAATTACATGCAGAAATAGCTTTAATAAGTCACATTGCTGTAAAATATCACTAGCTGCATAACAATACACAAATTTAATTTTTATTATGAAACAAGCATGTCTTTGGTAAGCCAGTCAATCTCTCCTGTGGTACATACATATCTGAAAAAAGATGTTTCTGTTTCTTAGTAATAAGACACCCCAGCATTGTGAAAGATTTGCTGTGTTCAATATATTTCTGAAAACATTTTCCCTTAAAGTACACACTCTAGGCAAAACAGGCTAACACAATCTGAGAACATTTAAAAACCAATATATACTCAGGGATAACAAAGATGATTTCTACCTCTAATAAATTTCAGTACTTTGATCTCAAGTTGAAAACTTGTTTTTGAAAACTTTTTTGTTCAAAGCCTGTGCCACTGTGTAATGGCTAACATTGGACATTCCATTTGCTTAAAGACACATTAAAAAAAAAAATCTTTGTCTTCAAAGTCAATGATTAAAATGACTCAATTGAGTTATCAGAGAGAGAAACTATGAGCCTTAGGAGATTTATTTTTCTTGGAGTTTTAGCAAATGCCCATGAGCAGACGGTTTTCACTGTACATGAGACTATTCTGTGAAAGTCCATGCTCTTATTACATCATGCAGTGATGTGAGTCCAGCAATTCAAGGTATACTCACATAACCGAACACTTCCCTTTCAGTTTATCCTTCTTTTTCTGCTGCTTGGATTTCTTCCCATCCACCTGGAGACTGACAGTTCTTCTCTTCTCCAGATTCAAGAGTTCTTGGAAGAGCTCCTGTACATTGTAGTTCATTTTAGCTGATGTCTCCATGAAGGAACACTTCCACTTGCTAGCTAAGGCTTCCCCTTCACTGGCATCCAGTTCCCTCTGGGTCTCATCACTCTTGTTACCAACCAACATTATTGGAATCTTTTGAATGTCCCCTTTGATCTGACAAATCTGGTCATAGATCGGATTAAGCTCTTCCATGGACTGCCTGCTGGTGACAGAGTACACCAAGATGAAAGCATGACCTTTGGAGATAGACAGCCTCTGCATCGCAGGGAACTGATGGCTGCCAGTGGTGTCTGTAATCTGAAGGGTGCAGATGTTTTTATCACAGCTGATCACCTGTCTGTAAGTGTCCTCAATGGTAGGGATGTAGGTTTCCCGGAAAGTTCCCCTTACAAACCGAAGGACCAAGGAGCTTTTACCAACCCCTGCAGCTCCAAACACAACCACCCTGTAATCGTTGCTTTGTTCTGGCATGTTTGCTCTGATATGGTTCAAGAAGTGAGGAAGGTCTGAATTTCAAGAAGTGAGGAAGATCTGAATTGCAAATGCCCAGGTTGATGGAGCTTACATGCCTGGATGCAGGGATGGCCTGCAGAGAAGAAAAACAAAGGAACGAACAAACAAACAAAAGAACCCTCATCATTCACAGTACACAAAAGGTTTTGCTAGGCTGATAAATACAACCCCTCCTCCCATCCTTCATCGCTCTGCTGTGTTACGAATCCAAACCAAATCCCTCAGGCACACATCTCTTACACAGCATTACATTGAAAGTGAAAACTAATTCACCTGTGGCCACCAGCACCAATATCCGGAGAAACTAGATTAAAATCAGGCATCAGAGCTGAGATGAGGCAGCTTCTCTCATTAAAGTTCTCCTGCGCCCAAGCAACGGAGCCCGCAGCACTTCGCTCCCTGCAGCTGGTTCAGAGGCTCTGTGCTCAGCAAATGCCTGGCATCCTCCTCTGCCTACATCAATCCCAGTGCCAGGCTCCCTCACTTCCCACCTTTCATCGGATGCTCATCCCAGAGAAGAGGGGTAGGGGTGCGGAGGGGGTAATGTTTCTCTAGTTTTTGTGCACACTCCCACGCTGGCTCTCTCCCGGTGCAACAGGCAGCACAGCCTGGGTGTCACTAAAGTTGCATCCCCTCTAATGATGAATCTAAATTAATGCACTGGGCTGTGATACTTCTGCTGCTGGTACAATCAGTGAGGCATGTGAGCCACACAGGGTCAGCTATAACCAGGAAAGACTGCACCATCAGTCCCCTTCAGAAAAAGGGGTTAGGTGGCTCTTCCTGGATCCTGATGATTTTTGCATCCAATCCCCCTCAACTGGACCATTAGACTAACTCCCCCCCAAAAAATTTTCCCCTAAAAGCCTGGACCCCATACATCCTGCTGGCACAACAGACTCCCAAAGCCCAGATCCAGTACCTGGACTCTGCTGGATCCAGCCACATTTTGGTTCCTACCTTCAAATTCTCCTGCAGAAATAGAGAACAAGGATGGATGAACCTCTTACACCAGAAACAAAATCCAGAGTCTGATACACAGAAACAGTAGGACAGATGCCCAGAGCTGGCACCTGGTTCTTGTTAGATCATGCCAATTTTTGCCCACAGCCTTGAAAAATTCCACTGGCCAAGTATATCAGCAGAACTCGTGTGGGTCTTATGCTATGCTATTAAAAGAAAATAAACAAACCCTTCACCAAGTACCTAATCAAACCACCAAGCCTTGTTGTTTCCCAGCTTAGGCTCTGGTGCTTTCATTTTGTCACTGATAAGGAAAGGATGCCCTATTTAGCTAGGGGACAGGGCTTGGTGGAGTTCTGTATTTCACAACGTGCATCGCTGGGACATCACAGATTGGGGGATGTTTTCAACATACTGTTGAAACAGCAACAACCTCAAATCTATGTATTCTCAATAGAGTGCTGGAAACAATATTCTGAAGAGTTGTGAAATGTGCATCTCTACCTTTTTGGCAATGCTGTTCCACTAGAATAGGTATAAATCCAGTTTGTGGGTGATGTAGAAGATGCATGTATAGGAAGTGTAAGTAGAAAGACTGGGGAGCATGCAGCCAAACTTCATCCAGATTTAGAAAGACAATGGTGCCAAATTAGAGAATTGCAGATTTCTGGATGTTGGGGAATCTTGGGAGGAATAGTAAAAACAACACCTGCTCTCAGTTTTGATGGTACAACATCTGGATTTTTAGCCAACAGTTGACAGGATATGGCTGGATCCCTGGATCTAAGATTTTGCATCAGAGTCTGGATTTGTTAAAGGTTCAGAAGAAGCAGTGATGAATGTTCCCTACTTACATAGTAGATTTTGAGGGACTGAGGCCCAAAATCGGCAGGATCCTGATGGGCTTTGCAGATCAGTTGGGTCGGATGTGTCCTGGCTGGGGTGTTTTAGTAGCAATAGGATAGTAACTATTTGGGTAATATATTTGGGGGTGTGGCTGCAAATGTCAACAAGCCCTAGCCAGCTCCATCTTTCAGTCAGTTACCCGCCACATGCACCACTATCACCTCAACCTACAACAGCAGAGCAGACACAACCAGTGCTCCCAGCTCCAGACTGGCAGCTTCTTCCCCTGCAAGTCATGCTGGTACTGTTCAGCTACCGAGCTCCATATGCGGGAGAAAGTGGTAGCTTCAGACCCTCCCAAAGCTGGGAGGCAGCAAGCAACAGCACCACTGCTGGCTTTTTGATGAGTAATAAGGTTATTGCAGCGCAGCTGAAGACAGCACAGGGCTTTAGCAACAGTCAATGAAAGCAGCTCCCTCTCCCCATCCGAGCCTCAGCACAGAATAAACATGTATATGAATATTTACCTCATTCTTTTGCTCTTCCAAAAACCTGCCTTCTGTGGGGGCAGCCCACATCCATAGGCAGCCTGGTGTGGAACTGGCACTCAATGGAAATACAAATTCCACTGTTGTATTTGTACCCGATGGAAAGCAGAGGCTGGGAAGCACCACTGCACAGAGGGAGAGGGCGGGCTTGGCTCCCCTGTGCAGCAGCCCTAAAGTCAGGCTCCAGATCTGCCCTTGCTGGGAGCCCTACTCTGCCCTGGCACAGGGCTACTTTGGTACACCTGCCTGGGGGCTGCCTGGCTGTATTTCCAAAGCGACAGGCCCATGTAGACTCAGCCCTGCATGCAGTCACCCTGTATTTCATTCAGTTTTTCCAGGAGTGGAACATCCCATTCATGCTGCTGGAGTGGAATAATAATGGTTAAAGGAGCCGAGTCTTCCGCTGGAGGGTTATTATCTTGTCTGCGGGAAAGAGCTGGGGCTACTTAGAGCACTTTTCAAAAGCCAAACAAGGTGTTTGGTGCTAGAAGGAGAAGCTCTGTATAAGGCAAATGCTAACAGGGCTTTGCTAGGCTCAAGCCCAGTATTTTGATATGAAGTGTTTCTTGGCCAGATCCAAAACCAATATTGTTATTAATTTCTTATGTGCACCCAAATATTTGCCCAGTAGCTGTTAGATTGGGGACAATTTTTCTTCACAGCTTTTACTGACCTTAGAGGGGAGGGGGAAATCAGGGCACTTCTTAGGAAGTAAAAATCAATTTTTAAAAATGCAGTCCATGGAGGAATTATAGGAATATGTAGGACACTGCTAAGTGAGAGCGCGTCACTCAGCAGTCCCCCTGCCCCAGTGAACTGAATTCACTTGCTGTTAGGAATGGAGATACCCTCTTCTTTGGGGAGGGGGCGGCAGCGTGCTTCTTGGGCCACTAAGTAATGTTCAGCCAGAAACTTCGGGACATTCTGCTCAGAGATGTTGTTCAGGACAAGTAGTCTGGGACTCTCTCTAGTAGATCAGCATTTTGGGCTAGATCCCCCAAGGGTATTTAGGCTCAGAACTGGAATGCCCAGCCACCCTTTGGAAATCAAACCCCCAGGTTCTTAGACAATACATGGAAGAAAGCACCTAAGAATGGGATCTGCAAAAGCCAGAACACTCAGGCTATGTCTACACTCGCGGCCTCTTGCGTGAGTAATATGCACATGAGGCTAAGTGTGGAATATTGCCGAGCCTCATTTGCATACCTAATGAGCTTCCATTTTTTCCAGAAGAGGCTCTTGCGCAAGAAGGAGCGTCTATACTGCCCCCTCTTGCGCAATGTTGTTACACCTATTACTTTTCAGGAAGAACGGCATTGCGCAAGAGGGTTTTTCTTGTGCAAGAAGGGGCAGTGTAGACACTCCTTCTTGAGCAAGAGCCTCTTCTGAAAAAATGGTGTCTCATTGGGTATGCTAATGAGGCTCGGCAATATTCCACGCTTGGCCTCATTTGCATATTACTCACGCAAGAAGCCGCGAGTGTAGACATAGGCTGTGTGGGATGCCACCTAACTCAGCCAGTAAGAAAAGCCAACGAGATAGGTGAGGCCTAAGCCACACTCCTCTTATTTTGTACAAAAAAGAAAAAAAATCAAGGAGGAGGACCCGCCCATGATATCTAGAGCACTGTGGGTCCTAATCTACGCTAGGGTGTGATTTCAAAACAACAAGCAGAGAGTCCACACTACCAACTCCATTATTTTGAAATAAGGGGCCGGTTATTTCGAAATAAGCTTATTCCCCAATGAAAGCAGGAGTTATTTCAAAAGAGTTATTTCAGGAGTTGTTTCAAATTTCGTTATTTTGAAATTTCCTAGTGTAGACATGCCCAGGGAGACCCAGTTTCCAATCCCCACCTTGCCTGATACCTCATTGATGAGAGATGCTCTGCAAGTGGGCTAACCAGTGATCTGGAGAGGGTGTTCTCAAGCTGTCTTGTTGAAGTCTTTCCACTTTGTATGGCATACTTACCCACTAAGGTATAGAAATTCACCCTCCAGCCCAAAGTCTAGAATTTCATACAAAGTGGAACTGCTTCAACTGGAGAGATGGAAAATCCCAGCCCTGAGTATCCTATAATCCAGCAACTTGGGCACTCAGAAGGGACCTGCGACACTGAAGATCAAGTTCCTGCTTCAAATCAGGCATGGGGACTTGAGCCTCAGTCTCCTACATGCTGGGTGAATCTTCTAGCAATGGGGGATGTGCACATTAGACATGTTCAAAACACACCTTTCAGAGCAGGCCCTGCCCCACATGCTGAATAGGTGCCTAATTTATGAAGTCCCATGGGGCTTAGACATGAGCTCGTTGCTGAGTTGCTCAGCATCATCAGGAAAAGTATGCACCTTAAGGATTTTCTTGGCAGAAACTTAGGTTCCTATAGGGTTAGGCAGCAAGTAAGCAGGGAATCTATGTTTTGGATTTAGGCACCTAAAATAGCAGTTAGGCACCCAATTCCCTTTGTGCTGCTAGCCCTTTGTCTGATGTTCACGGTCCCGCTTTATTGAGATATAGGTCATGAGGTGGGCACATCTCTACAAGTTGCAGATGTAGGCAACACAGGGGCTTATGCTGCTTCATTCCAAAAAGCAAGTTATAACATTCGCAGGGATTGTGAAAAGGCACATTATATAGCCTGGGCTTTCTATCATAGCATGCTAATGTTGGATGGGTTATTAAAAGCATAGTGACTAAAATGAGAAAGCACTTTGCCCTGCAAATTATTCTAGTGTGTGTAATAACACTGAAGTTCTGAATTGCTGCAGGTCTGGCAGTTACTTTTTATTAGATATTCAGCTGCCCTTTGAACTGTTTTTACTTTCTTACATTGTCTCAGTGTATGGAATGTAACTGGAGGCATGGCAGTCCCAGGATATTAGACAAAGTGAGTGAAGTAATATCTTTTATTAGATCAGCTTGTTGGGGAGAGAGATGCTTTCAAGTCATACACATTCACCAATAGAAGTAAAGCCAATCAAAGATATTGCCTCACCCACCGTGACTGTCACTTAGGGCAGTTGTAAAAATGTACTACAAATGAATAGGATATCCAGTTCTCACCGGAGAGACTGACACAGGGATGCCAAGAGTGAGGAATAC